GTGGGTGGCTGAGCAAGGCAGGAAGAAAGGGGACAGCCCTCCCTGCCTGACAGAAACCAGCAGCTGCCTGTCTACCTCGTTAACTGGAGCACAATTAAGGCAGTTAGGAGTCAGAAGATGTCTCATGTTTATTCATGTACCTTTCACGCACTGTCTTTCTGTGTCGGTCACAGTCCCAGGGGCGCTTTGCGGCCACTCCCCCTTCTTTAACTTTCTCTGCCTCCACCCAGTTCCTGGGCAAGCATCCTGTGCCTTCTCTCATCAACTCATTTACAAATGGTAAATGAACATCTGTATAATGTCTTACAGTTTACAAAGCACTTTCCACATCCATTACTCCACGTTAAGTCTCACAGCAGCTCTGCACAGTTTCTATTATCACCATCATCCCCATTTTACAGATGCTCTGTTCCGCATGGGGCTCCAGGTCCCCAGCAGAGAGGGGAGGCAGCCTTCTGGCAAAGCCCTGGCCTCTATGGGGTCTCTGCAGGCATCCAGGAGGAGAATGGAGCCATCTGCACTATTCTTCACCTGCTCACTGGGTGCCTGGCAGGTTTTGCTGACCCAGGTAGTTGCAGGACGAAGTGTTCCTGTGGGCTGATGCTGGCACCCTCATCTTCCTCCTCTCCTGGGCTGAGCTCCAGGGGCTCCTTTGTCAACAGTGCAGCAGGGAAAAGTAAATACCCATCCCTTACGGGAGGGAGGGCGGCAACTCTCTGCTGGATGAACAGGGTGGTAATTGTTGCCACCTCAGCAAACCTACACCTCTGACAGCTGCTTGCACCGGGCTCCAGGCACTCCAGCTGCCTCCTCTGCTCTGCTCTGCTCTGCTCAGGATACCCAGAGCACTCCCGCCATGCCCCCTCACCCCAGCAGGCTGCTTCTGATCACCCTACTTAAAGAGCCCCCCTCCCTGACTCTCTATCTTCTTACCCAATTTTTCTTAATAGCATGTATGTACCCCGCCAATCTATGATTTTCATTTATTTACTCTCGTTGCTCCCACTAGAATATAAGTTTCTAGAGGGAAGAGTACTAAATATTGGGTGACTGAATGTAAAAATGAATAAATGAATTATACCGAACCTTTGGGAAGGTTCAAAATTCATATCAAAATTCATATCAAAATTCATACTAAGCACCAGACACTTTTATTTGGGTTATTTAAAAAAAAATCTTTTGATTCTTACAGTGATGCCAGGAGATAGCTTTTGGTAACCCCAGTTTTCAGATAAGGAAACTGAAGCTCAGAGGGTTCCATGACTTGCCCAGGGTACACACTGGCTGCCCCGATCCTCATCACAGTGAAAGGCCCACGTTAGTGAACCGAGTCATGCCTCCTTCACCTTCTCATCCCACCCGACTCCATAACACACATTCAAACAATCAGGTCTTGTCAGTTCCACCACTGGAATATTTCTTGACTCCATCTAATCCCTTCTCTCTTGCTATTTTCCTAGGCCAACTCACCATCATCTCAAGGCTGCCTTATTTTGAAACTTCAAGGTCTCAGTTTTCTTCTCTGTAAAATGGGGGTAAGTTAAACAATCCTGAGCCAAAGCCCCTCCAAAGGCCTCCCAAGCAGGGTGACTAACTGTCCTGATTTATGTCCTGTTAAGTTATGATATTTGCGAGCCCTTTGTCTTCATGGTCTTCTTCCTCCTTTGAAAAAAAAATTAAAAATTTCCTTTACTTTAGCATAATGACAAAAATAATTCAGGCTGAATTTATTATTATATATTCATTATCATCATATTCTTTCTTTCTCCTGATTTAGGAAATTGAAATTAAAACTTTTTCATGGGCCCCTAAAAGTATGATGTGCCCCAGGCAGTGTGTCTGTTGTACCTGATGGATAGGTTGGTTCTGTCAGTTTTAGCACCAAAAGTCCCACATCCCAGGAAACCCCTTAGTCCTGGGCAAGCTGGGATGGTTGATCACTCTAATACAAGACTTCCCATAATCTGGTTCCTCATTGCTTCTCTGACCTCAGTGTCTACTTCCTTTCCTCAGCTAGTTCTACTCCAGACACACTGGCTCCTCTGCTGGCCCTTGTTCAAACTGGGCACACTCCTGCCGCAGGACCTTTGCACTTACCCCTCCCTCTGCCTGACATAAACATTTGACGAAGGTCATTAAGATCTTTGCTCAAGTGTCTCCTTGTCACAGTAGCCTTCTGTGATCACCAGTGCAACAGCCCTCTCCCTGTCTCCCTTCCTCCCTCCTACTCTTGTCCAGTCTTTTCTCCACAAAGCAGAGTGACCTTTCAATTAAAAAAATTGATCATGTCTGTCTCCTGATCTAAAAAAAAAAAAGTTTCTTGGTTCTCATTGCATTTAGAAGAGCCAGACTCCCTAGCCTAACCTACAAGGCCCTGAAGAGCTGATGCTACACTCCAGGTTTCTGCGGAGAGACATTCTGATCAGGAGCTGTCGTGCTGACCCTTTTAAAGTTCCTCTTCTCCCAAGGCCCTCCCAGCGCATGGCCTGCGCTGATTGCATTATGAGAAGCTCTCTGGGGGCACCTGAGCCTCAGCATTACCTCATGTGAGACAAGACCTCAGTGTGCCTCGGGAAGGCTTGGGATTGGTGCAGATGGGAAGGAAATGGATGCAGGGATAACTCCATGAGCCCTGGCAATCCTGGGGTAATAACACTCTCTCCCAAGCCCAGTTGGAATCTCTGGGGAGACCCTGGAGGACCCTGCGCCCCACTTGGTGAGGGAGGCAGTGCCAGGATTCTGCTTGGAAATGTTCATCTTCTTTTACCTCCGGACATTGTTTGAAGCTGGACAGTGCTTTCCAGAAGCCACAGAATAGAGAATTTACAGGCTATAGTTAGGAAGCATTCCTCGTGCCTTCCTACATGCTGCATGCTACAATTTCCCTATTTGGTGGACATGGAAAGCCAGGACAGCCTCCCATCACAAAGCCCTTTGTTTCCAGGAGAGCTGAGCCCTACTAAAACAATAAAAATAAGTATTTATCAGGCTTTTATCCTGTACCAACCGTCCTTAGTGCTTTACATGCCTAAAGTCATTTCTCCCTCACAATCGCCCTTGGAGGGGCTACTATTTGATGAGATGAGGGTTTGGAGCTCCCATCTCCCTGACCCTAAGATGCCAGGCTGGCGGGAGGTGTGGGAAAGCCTTTCCTCACGCCCACCCCTTTTGGAGAGGAGGCCTCTGCATTCTCCGGGGAAGCACCCTAAGGACCAGCAGGGACAGTCCTGTGGAGACCACCTCATTGGTGCTATTCTGCTATCGACATGGCTGGAGTAGACACACATCCCACAGTCTTAGGTACGACCAGCAGTAGCTATCAGAATGGTGTCTGGACTACGGTGGGCATTTAGAAGTATTTGAGATTTGCAGATACACACTACTATGTATGAAATAGGTAAACTACAAGGCCCTTGTATAGTGCACGGAACTCTATTCAATACCTTGTAATAGCCTATCATGAAAAAGAATATGGAAAGGAATATACATATGTATAACTGAATCACTATGCTGTACACTAGAAATTAACACATTGTAACTGACTACACTTCAATAAAAAATTTTTTTAAATGCAGCGAGTTAATCAATTTATTGAGCATCTACTTAATGCCAGTGCTATCAAAGATACTTTGCACACATTGTCTCCTTTAAGCCACACAAAAACCCTAAGCAGCTATTGTGAATTCTATTTAACAGCGGAGGAAATAGCAGCTCAGAGAGAATAAGGAGCTTAACTGAGGCCACACAACTAATAAATACTGAAGCTGGGATTTGTCCCCAGGACCGTTTGACTTGCCTCTAACAGCTTAGGTGCTTGATTAATACTTGTTAGGTGGCAACTGAAAACTGGCCCCTGACAGCTCCGCCTGGATAAAAATACCAGTGTCATGCATCCAGCCCCTTAGGAGGAGTTCCGGCCATGGGAGAGGCTCTGAAGCACGGCTAAGGCTTGGCTTCTCAGACTTCCCCACCCGCAGCCCCCGGGCCCAGGGTTTAGCCGTATCCACGCTGCTAATGGGTGACCCACGCTCCCAAGTTCCCTCCCAGCCCTGCCCATCTTTGAGCTGCAGCTGTGAAATCACAGTGACAGATCCAGTTTAGTTCCAGGATGAGCCTGTGATTATGTCTGCCTCAGCAGGGAGGTGACCCCTTCTCTGTCCTTGCCCTGTAACAAATGAGTTCTCCTTTCTCATTTAGGTAGCCCTAAAACACCCCCTCCTCCATCAAGCCTTCCTGGATTGACTAGAAGTTGGCTGTCAGCTGATGAAGTCCTTCCATCCATCCAGAGAAAGTGTTGGGCCCAGATCTCAGCCAGCATCCGTCTCTGTCTTCTTGGATTATTGATGGGACATCTCTGTGAAGGTTTAGGTCCCAGCAAGGAACTCTCCTTACTGTTCCTGAGGGAAGTCCTCTTTCCAGCAGGAGCTGTCTGGCAAAACCTGTCTCACGGGCTCCCAGTTCCAAAGGGCCTCGTGGGCTAAGCCCTCTATTGTTGGGTGCTTTGTGAAAAAGTGAAGTGGCAGAAGCGGGCGGGGAGAGGGAGGGAGAAAGAGATGGATGACACAGAAGAGCAAATAATTTTGGGAGGGAAAGCCTCCTTTAAAAAGAGACAGGGAACATTTCTTAAGGAAGGCTCTGCTGAGGGTCCCTGGGTAACCCAAAACAGAGTCTGCACCCTAGGTTCCAATGAAGACATGCCCTAACCTCAGGCTCAGAGATTTCGACACCTGGAGGCACATTCCGCTAAGATTTTGGGATTCTTCCAAACTCTGACTGTGCAAATCCCTTTCCTTTCCTTCCCTTAGCACAGTCTCAGTAACTTGGAATAATCAGGTTTTTGAGATCACTTAAAAAACCTTCTCATTTCACAGCTGAGAAAACTGAGGTCCTGAGTCTTGCTGCAGGCCCACAGTGGGACCCTCCCTGCAGGCTGCTCACACCTCCCCGAGTTCATGGAGAGAGGCAGGCGGCAGGAAGGGGCCGCTGGCGACAGGACAGAACACGACGTTCCTTTTGTTCCTCCCCTGTCCTCTCCTTCCCCCACTTCCGGAGGCAGCATTTCCAGGCTGGCAGAGCAGGGTGGGGTGCAGGGAAGGCTCTGCAGGGAAGTGGGGCCTGCAGGGCTGGGGCAGACACCAGTGACAAGAGCAATTTATTTCCCGGGCACAGATTAGACGGCAACTGAGAAATTCTCCCTCTTCCATCCATCAACTGGCTGCCTCTGGCAGCCTCCGTGGGGTCAGGAAATTTGTCTTGACGGCACTGCTCTGCCACTTTATTTGGGTTCCCGTGGCTCAAGCTATGCCAGAGACCCTGAAACCAGCATAAGGAATCAAACCCAAAGATTGTCCACAGAGCCAGTACCTCACAAACTGTACCTGTCTGTTCCCACCCTGGGCTGCACAGACTCCCCAAAGGACATGATGCATTTCCTCTTGGCCTGCAGGGACCGAGGGACTTCTCCCAGTGCACCGCACTGGCTGGGAAGGGAGCTGCCCCTGGGGCTCTGCCCAGGTGTCTGGGATCATTGGGATTTTCCCAGCCCACTTTGACAAGAGTGTGTTGGTTGAAAGTACTGTTATCTGAAAGGGCTGGTAAAGTTTTCCTGCAAAGGGCCAGACAGTGACTATTTTAAGGCATCTGTCACAACCACTCAGCTCTGCCACTATAGTGCAGAGGCAGCCGTAGATAATATATAAATGAATAGAGTAGTTACATTCCAATAAAACTTTATTTACAAAAAACAGGTGACTGGCCCAAACCTTTGGAAATTTGGAGAGCCTTTCACCTTCTTAACAAGATTTATCAACTAATAATTATCATGATAAAGTTTACAGTGAAAAGCTGTAAATCAATCAATGAGGCCATTGGAGTTGGCCCTTGATTCAGATACCGGGAGCCTATCTGTTGTCTCACCAAGTCTCAGAAACCAAGGGATCTGCTCTTTTGTGGATTTGGGGCTATTATCGCTCACAACATCCTCAGTGTTGGACAGGAGTGTGTAGGAGTTCAGAGAATAGGCTCTGGTGTTGTCAATCCTTACTCTACTATTTACTAGGTATATGGCCTTAATCTCACTTGCCTCAGTTTCCTCATCTGTAAAATGGGGACAATGACAGTTCACCCTCATAGGGTCACTGTGAAGCTGAATGAGTTATTACAGGTAAAGCACTTGGAAGAGGGCCTGGCTCGTGGTCAGTCCTTACATGTTGCCAGATATGGGAACCAGTCCAGATTCTTTGCAAACACTGCCCAGGGGCTGGCTGATCCTGAGTGATGTGAGAGGTTGAGGTGTGAGGACACTGTACCTGCTAGATGGGCAACAGGTAACCATCTCCATCCACGTACCTTGGCATTGGGCGTTTGGGATTTCTCTTTTGCCTGTGCCAATTTTGGTTAGAATATAATTATAGCAAGGAGAATAAAGAAGAGAAAGGACATGGAAACTACATTTACTGAGTTGCTACAGTAAGCTGGGCAGGTTAAGTGCTTTACACATTTTATTTCATGAAATCCACAAAACAACTCTGCAAGGGTGTCCTCACTTTATAGACAAAGAAAATTAAGTTTCAGAAAGGTTATATGACATGTCCAAGGTTACCAGGCTGCCTAATTACAAGTTGATTCTTCCATCAAAAATTATTTTTCACCAATTAGGAGTCAGACAGACATAATTTGGGAAACAGAGATAGATAAAACCAGCTCATGGTCAAGATGGGGGTGATGAGAATTTAAATCAGTCATCCAGGTGGGGTGATAACAAAGAAAAGTGTGGAGAAGCAGGGAATCTTCACCAAGGAGGAGACACTCAAGCTGAGTCTTGAAGGAAGAGTGGGAGTCTACTGGAGCACACGGAGGAAGGGCATTGCAAAGAGAAGTAACATCATACGCAAATACACAGAGGCATTAAATAACACTGTGCTTTTGAGAACAGTCATACAGTGTTCTGGAGGGCTGCAAAGGCAAGCAGTGGGCAATGAGGTTGGAGAGGCAGGTCACAAGGGACTCAGGGAGGCCCTCATGGGTCATGATGAAGAGTCTGAGCTTGGTTCTGCATGCAATGCGGAGATATCTAAAAGGTTGGAGGCAGGGCAGCAACAGAACCAAACTGTGTTTTAGAAATAAAAAATGAAAGTTGGTCTGGAAGGTTAATGGACAGGAAATAGGAAGACCACTTGAAAGACAGATGAAATATTCCAGGGAAGAAAAGATGAGAGGATTAATTTAAAAGTGGCAGTGAGTCTAGGGAGGAAAAGATTGATTTGAGAGATACTGAGGTAAAGTTGGTTGGACTTGATGATGCTTGAAATTAAGAGTGGGGTGGGGAGGGAAAATGGAGCCTAGGGTGACTTGGAGCCTTGGGGGATGAGAGGAATGGGTGCAACCTTGACCGATATGGGGAAGAGAAGAGAAAGAGGATTTTATAGAAGGAGTTCCACTTTGGACATGCTGAGGATGGCTAGTGTGGGGATTAGTGGTGGTGGAGGGTGTGGGTATCAGATGGCAGGATTGGGGAGAAGACACACATTCTTCTCTCAATCCCATGTGGGACTCACTGATAAGATCTGAGAAACAGTACCTTCATCAGGCCCAGATAACCAACCCTGGGTGAAGCGTGGAGGGTACCTCAAGGTTTCTGGGTAGCTTCTACCTTCTGCTCTTGAGAAGGGCCTTTTAGTGAGAGAAACCACAGATGGGAATCCTCCTTTCTTAAAGAAACTGGTTTGCTGTGGATATTTCCATTTCTTTTTTGTTATTGTTTTTCACTTCTTTGTATTTCAGTAAAATGTAAATTCTGACATCACCATAGGACCCAGTTATCTGGCTTTTTAAGAGCTAAACAAAGATGAATAGATGGAGGCCTTCCTTGTACCCAGAGTTCCTTTCATATAGTTTGAAAATATTTGCCTAACTCTCCTCATTCCCCCAGGCCCAAGTCATCCTTGGCTGCTGCAGCATTTGCTTCCACTAGGACATTTTCTGGGACCATGGAAGACATCTCAAGAGGAACTACTAATTAAGCAAGTTTAGGCAGTTTCCCAAGCCATGACCTTCAGAATGACTCACTGCAGTCCTCAGCCCTGACCTCACAGAAGGGCTCATCAGGAGGAAGGGCAAAGATTTTCCAAGGAGTAATAGAATAGTGTGCATGTTTGTGTATTTGTGTGTATAGGAGGGGAGGGGAGAAAGGGAAGGGAAGGCAGAGAAAGACTTAGGGGACAAATACGGACAGATAGAATGCTCTCATTCAAGAGAGGAACAGTGTGAAATTGTAGATATATAGGAAGTGGTGAAAATAGAAGACAGGGAATAAGAGAAATAGGAGATCTGGGGTGGTGGTGGTGAGGTGTCAGGGACAGCCAGAAATTCAACAAATCCTCATGGTTTTAAAGTGCCCTCATCTTGATCTTAAAATGTCCTTGGCCACGGTGCTGAATTTTAAGGTCCTAACAGGTAGACATGGGTGAACCATGCTATGACTTTAAGCTTTTATATTCACAAATTCCTTATTATAGTTATTTAATTCCCACTGCATGCCAGATACTCTGCCATTTGCTTTCACACATATTACCTCGTTTCATCACACAATAACTTCCTAACACAATAATTCGAAGAGCTGCCAATGTCTTGCCTTAAGTTGCTCAAACCAAATCATAGTTGAGAGTGGGTACTGACTGAAAGTATCTTACTTTGTTATAAGGACCTTAAAAAAGGGCAAGGTCCTTATAAAAGAGGTCAGAGCTTGACAGAGAGAGGGCCAGCATGGAATCTGTCAGGGATGTGTCCCACAGAACTCTGAATGTGCTAACAAAGGTGGGGTCCTGGGGAATTCTAGGGGTTGCTGTAAATGAGTACCCTTAAAATAACACAGAAATGATGTGTCCAAAAGAGAATCTTTCATAGTACAGATTCTAGCAGCTCTAACCCATTCTAATTATGTTTCTATTATTCAAAAGAGTTTTGATCTCCTATTTTTGGAGTTTCTCTAAAGACATTACTTATACATTTTCAATTATAAAAATTCTTCATTTTGTAGGTACAAATTATGTTTTTTTTTCATGGAAGGACTGGGGATTGAACCCAGGACCTTGCACATACTAAGCATGTGCTCTACCACTGAGTTATACCCACCCCACACAAATTATGTTTTGAGTAAAATACTTTTCACCATTTTATTTGTATTTAAAATTTTTAAATGGATTTTATTTTTAGAGCAGTTTTAGGTTCACAACAGAATTGAAAGTGTACCATTTTATTTTTCTTACATTGTTTCTCTGATTTTATTTGTTTGTCTAAACACACACACACATACACACACTATGGCTTAGATGCTGAGCAATACTATTTCAGGTCAAAAACAAGGTGTGATTCTAACGTATTAAGGCTGACTTTCCTATTCAATTCCTAAGCTGGTTCTAATGGTTATTTCCAAACAGGTATCCTACAACCAGCTAGCAATGCCAGCACCACTGAATTAAGCATGCAGCCTCCCAGGGAAGCCCTTAAGCCCTTTGAAGGGCACTGCAATCTTTTCAATGCACATCATGGAAAGATTCCTATGTGTGCTTATTTTTAAAAAATGTATTGCTTTAAAGTCCTGGCTCTGTTACTTATTCACCTGTGTGACCTTGGATAAGTCACCCAATTTCTCTGTGCCCCTGTTCCTTCATCTGTAGAAAGGGGATAGTGATAGTTCCTAATGAGTTGATACAAGTAAGATGTGCTTAGAATAATGTCTGGCCCATTAAAATATGCATTACATGCTCACTTTCAACAGTCCTACCATACACCCTATTGCCCTTCACCTTCTAGGCACATCCCCTGGTAGAAAACCAAGTGAGTTAAGGCATGTTAGGCAGTTGGCCCAGAGTCTGGCATCAGAAGGGTGCTCAATGCATGTCTGTTGATCTGACTAGAACTAAACACAGCCCTTCAGGAGCTGAAGGGCTAGCATTAGACTTCACTGAAAGCAGAAAACTCTCTTGGATAGATCAACATATTTTGGATATTTTCAGAATACGAAGAGCATCCCAGTCCTGGGTCATAACTGGATGAGACTGTGCAGTTGGAAGGAAAGTGAGCCTTAGGGTCCTCAAAGCACTCCTCTCCCCTACAGGAACAGAATGCCCCTCACTGCCATTTCCATGCAATGAGGGTGGAGGAGGGATGGGGGCTGTGCTCTCAGCTGGGATTCTTCTTGTCATATCGGAAAGCCCAACTTGCTAATGTGTCAGGTTTTTAAAAAAGAATTTTTATTGAAGTGTAGTTGATTGACAGTGTTTGTTTCAGGTGTACAGCAAAGCCATTCAGTTATACATATACATACTTATATATATTTGTGTTTTCAAATTCTTTTCCATCATATGTTATTACGAGAAATTGAATGTAGTTCCCTGTGCTATATAGTAGGTCCTTGTTGTTTATCTATTTTATATATAATAATGCATGTCTGTTAATCCCCAACCCCTCCCCGCTCTTTCTCCTTTGGTAACCATAGTTTGTTTTCAATGTCCACGAGTCTGTTTTTGGTTTGTAAATAGAATTTGTATCAAATATAAGTGATATCATATGATATCATTGTCTTTGTCTGGCTTATTCTTTACTCAATATGATAATCTCTAGGTCCACCCATGTTGCTGCAAATGGTTTTATTTCATTCTTTTCTGTGGCTCCAGCCACTAACTCCTATGGGCATTTCAGAAACAGCCTCTATGCCCTCTTGGGGACCAGCAGCAGCCAGGTGGCACCCTCAACTCAGAGATCTGAGCATCAGCTCCTCTGAGCTCCAGGTTCTGGTCACTCTTCATGCCTCCCAGTCCTAGAGATGGTAGCTGTTTTCTGCCTTTATTATCTCTGGGTCACTTCAGTGTTCCATTTTTGCTCTTCCAGCTCTCCCACGGTGGTGTAACCACTTCCCTGTATTAAATCTCCTCTGTTTGAAATACCTAGGGTGGCTCCTTCTTTCCTGACTAGACTGTGACTGCTATAGCACTTGGGTCAGGTAGCTTGTTTATAAAGCATGTTCTCTGAACCACTAGTGTCCTACCTGCCTCTCAGTGGCTGTGGGAATTTCAAACTCCTGCTGGCAGGGTCACAGAATTCGCTTTCGTTATTTATTTATTTATTTTTTTTTACCAGACACTAAATTCACTTCTCAGAAATAAACATTTACAGTTTCCTAGCAGACCACAGTCACAGGCTTCACTGTGAAGATTTTCAGCTGTGTGACTCCTGGTTGAGGGGCCCTGGGCATGGTGGACACTAGGAGCTGCCAGGCTGAGTTTGACTCCTCCCCTCATTCTGGTGCTGGGCGCTAATGTCACTCTGCCACAGAGTCAGACTAAGTCTCAATTAAGAGGCGAGATGGTCACTTTGACACTGAAAGAAATTACTGGGGATAATAAAAGATTATGGCTTTAATTAGACGGCCAGCTGGTGTCAGTACCATTTTGGAGATATGGGTATCAGGCTTTCAAAGGGGGTACTGGTTGGAGAGTTTTCAGCTAGGATACCTTATCAAGATGGCTTTGATTGAGGTTGAGGGGGCACCACATCCAAGATTTGGAACAGCAGCCAGGTAAGCCAATGTATATGTTGTTCAGGGTCTCATGTTAAGACAGTATACGGGATTGCACTTAGTGAAGGAAACAAAGACACAAAAAGAGGAAAGAGGTGGCTTCCATCCAACCACTTAACCATCCACCCAATCATCAACAGACCAATTTATTTATTCATTTAACAAACATTTACTGGGCTACTATCCTATGCGAAGTGTATGTGGGATGGGAGACAGAGATGAATCAGACATAGATTGTGTCCTGAAGGGATATAACCTCCAGTAGGGGAGATCAGAAGAGGAAAAGGTACCATCTACTAGGAGTAACTGACTTCATGAAGAAAGTAGCAATTGAGACGGGGAGGAAAGTGCGGGGCATATGTGAGCACATCGAGACGTTCGGCAGGTCACAGAGACAGCTTTGTGAACAGAAGTCATGGCAGCAAGATCAGAAAGAAAGCTGAAACTATTTTATAAAAGGCCTCGGCTCTCAACTTTGTTCGGTTAGTAGTAGGGAGTAACTGACTGTTTTCAAGCAGGATATGAGATGATGAAAATTCCTATTATTTTTATTTTAGAGTGAAGGTAGATTTATTTAGAGAGATACATACTCCATAGACAGAGTGTAGGCCATCTCAGAAGGCCAGGGAGGCCACAAGGCATGGGGTTGGGTGTTTAGTTTAAAGTTAAAGTAGATACACACTCCATAGACAGAGTGCAGGCCATCTCAAAAGGCAAGAGAAAAGGTTGAAAATTAGTTCTTTAGAACAGTATTCTAGAAGCACAGTGTAAAATGGACTATAATCAAGACACAAGTTAAGAAGTTGTCATGCTGGTCAAGGCAATGAAGGCATAATGAAGGAGTGAATCATGGAAGAAGCAGAAAAAATGCGGACAAGGAAATGGAAGTTCAAAGCAAGATGGTAACCCACTTGGTAGCATCTGGAAGAGGCAGAGAGGACTGAAGTTTGGGTGGTAAAGAGGACAACTGAGTCACTAAGAGGAACAGTGAGCATGAAAGAAAGAACCAAGTTAAAGGGATCAATGTATGAATTCAGCTCTGGACACACTGACTTTGAGGGGTTGTGGGAATTAAGGCTGAGATGTCCAGCACATAGTTGGAAAAGATGGACCACATGGAGTTCAGGAGAGAAGTTAGGGAGGGATGGGAAATGAATTTGAGTACCATCTGCCTTCACTGAGGTTAGCAGATGAAGTTCTGAAATCGGATATGATCTCCTAAGAAAAGAGTGTGGAGAAAGAGCAAAAAGGAGCCAAGGCATGATTCTTGAGTAAAACCCAAGTTTGTAAAGGAGCAACCAAAGGAGTAATGGCCAGAAGAGCAGAAAGACAACAGGCGACAGCAGCTGGAGAGAAGCTCAAGGAGAGAGGGTGAAGCTTTAGGGAAAGGAGAACGGAACACCAAATGCTCCCAAAGGCCAGGAGAGGAGGAACAGGAAGAGGCCACTGGCCTTGGGGGGCTGAGAGGGGCTCAGAGATGGTCAGGGGAGCAAGTCTGGCAGAGTGGTGAAGGCCAGAGCTAGAGTAAAAGGAGCCAGAAATAATCATCATAAAGACACTAATAAAGATAATAAAACCTTGCTTTCGATGCTTACTAAGGGCCAAGCACTTTCAAAACACTTTACATAAGCAGATTCATCTTCACAACTACTCTATAGGGTGGGTACTATTATCACCTCCTACGTTACAGATAAGGAAGTCAGGGCATTGGAGAAAATAAGAAAGGACAAGGCTGGAGACTTCCAACGTGCAGAACCCTCATCCTGCAAGCAGCAGCACGAAAGAGGGTTAAGTACATTTGGCATTTCCCTTTTTAGGAACGTAGACTGCTATATTAAAGATTGAGGAGCCCCCCCCCCCCGAAGAAAGTAGCTTTGTGAAACCCAGTGTTTTCTAAATGTGTCTGCCCGACAAACCTTTTACCATCACCATTGTATGGAACAACGTTCTACAAGGCACATGTTGGGAAAAGCTGGTGTGAAGACTCTTTCATAAAGTCAAGGACAGAAACCTGAGGAGGCTGGGGCATTCTGCTCTTCTTTTTTGAGAGGGAAGGGTGTTTGTTTTTTATGATAGGGGAGCAAAATTTTAGGTGAGCTAAAGGAAGTGAGGGTGAGGGGTAATGGGGAAGAAGTCTTAGGGCTAGACAAAAAATCAACAACCCGTTTATAGAGAGCTTTGAGCTGGGATTCTTGGAAAAGAGACCACAAGAGAGCAAATTCTTACCAATTGCACTCCAGGCTCTTTTAAGTGGCCTGTCCACTTCCACAGACCCACTGAGCATGCTCACCAGCTTCTTAAGGGGAGATGCTCCCACAGTTTTAGGGAGCAATCAGAGTATTCTGGATCCTCTTCCTCATTCATTCTTTTGTTAATTCATTCAGAAAATACAGACTGGGCTTCCTCTGGGTGAGAAGCAGTGTTAGGCATTGCTCTTACTCTGATACTATTTCTTCCCAACTCTCAGCTCTTGGTTCTGCACCCTGGGTTGTGCTTCTGCCTCTGATCCTTTGGACTTGAAGCTGTGCTTGGTCTTCCCAGAGTCTGAAGACCAGATCCCCACTAGCTGGCTTATG